GTGTACAAACAAACACAAGGATATTCAGAAGGCAGCGACATGGATTTGACTTCACCAAACACCACACCAAGACACACTGAGAATCAGATCGACTTCATGTCAATGTGAAGAAAGTGGAGACGCAGCCTACTTGACATAAAGTGAGATGAAGCAAGGAAGCAGACTTAAGTTCACACCACTCACTGTCTAGTGCAAGGAACCTACCTTCCGAATCAAGTTGAAAGCCTTCAAGAAAATTGGTGATAGACCACAGTTCAAGTTCAACACCCAGAAAGGAAACTGAAGGACGAAACAATAAGGAAACATCTTCACATCAGCCATCAGGGAAAAATGGAAGACATTAAGCGACATCCCTGAAGAAACCTGTGTGGATGAGCACTGGAAGTCTTTGAAAGCTATGTGGAAGGAATCCTGCATAACCGTGTTAGGAAGGAAGAAGAAGAGATGAGACAAGAAATGTATCTTGACGGAAACATGGAAGCTTATAGAGGAGGGAGAGGGAGAGAAAGATGGTGAAACATAAGGTGAAGCAGGCTAGTAACTAGTGAATTAGTTGCCCAGGCGAGGTTTAGACTCTAGTGATAAACAGTTATCTCGGAACAAATAGCAAGCAATTGTCATTGCAAATGCAGACTAGTTGTATGCGTCAACCCTTTTAAAGTTCATATTTTATTGCCTAATGACACTAGACAGCACGCTGTTAATATTTTTTGCCTATAGTTTTGGATAAATAAAGCGTTATTAAACCGACGTCATAATATTTCATCAGTTGCTCCTATTTTTTCATACGTCGATATACTGAACGTTGAGCGCATAATGAAATGTTTGTTTAATTACACTCGAATCAAAAATATTCAATTTTCTCCTCCCCCTTTGTTGTCAGTAAAGACGTTAATTTATACTCCTCACTATCTTCTGTTTTCATAGTTCCTTACAGCAGCAACTGGGATATCAGGAACAGTACGGTACTTCGTGAACGGAAATATAAGAATGAGGATCAGATGCCAGCAATATAATTAAATGCCTTTGCATAACGTGCGAGACAGTTTACTTCGAATGACATTTTTTTCATTAGAGTAATTGGAAATACGGCGCCAAAGAATTAACCCTTGTTTAATGCTGAAAAAGACTTAAGTGAATTATTGAAGTCGACTCAGCCACCCTAATGGCCGTCAGTCGGGAGTACAAAAGGCTGAGCTCCGTCTAAGTTGTTGTACTAGACGTATTACACACTGCAACAGTATTGTTTCCTAGATTACGTTTCGGACACAATATATTGTCCTTAATCATATCAAAATAATTCCACACCTTTGTTACATGGATTACATGGTCCTAATTCTCTCGCCTTCTTGGGGAAATAGATAGGAAGATTTTATACATATATATATGGAATGGGTGCTGGGTAATTCCTATTGGATGTGTTTGGTGTTGATTCGTTAAACAAAGATTCATTTATCAATCTCACTCTCCCCCAAAATAATTTAGCTTCAAAGATTGTCACTCCATCTCATTCTATTACGTCGTTCTGTGAAACTGCATGATTTGAATATGAAGGTTTTTATTAGATACCAGTATCTAAACTCCCATCTTGTTTTCCTTTTATTCTGAAATCCAACATCACTAATTTCCCATTAATATTTTCTAAGATATATAGGTAAACGTTGACTACTGAAATTATATGTCAAGAAGGTATCTATGTAGAATGACTAAAGTGCTGTAAACACGTAATTCATACGTCTAAACCATATTTTTAGAGCAAAACTAAATGTTTGATAGCCGTTCATTCTTAAATATCCATTAATTTGTCCACCACGAGAGTCAGAACGGTCTCTAATTGTGTCTAGTAATAGGGTTACATATTTAGATAACTCAAAGAAGGTGCATTTCTAAATTATACCATGGGTCTAATAAGATAACCTGTCGTATCAACTTTGATAAAAACATAAATCCTACTTGTATTGTTAGTTTTCCGCAACAAATTAAACCATTCTGACTCACCAGAAATGGCCTCATTCGGCGTATTAGATTCACTATGGTTTTCAAATTTATTCATAATAGTAGGAGAATTGTGATCTAGAAATGGATAAGAAAAATGTAGCACTTTCATTTTTCACATGTCAACGTAAAAATGATTGTTCCCATTGTATTTGTACATGAACGAGGGCTAGTTGATCAGCAAAGATTATCTGTTTAACTTTGAAAACATGTTTAGCATCCAGCATCCCATACTTGCTTTTCCAAATGACGAGTGCTGTCATAGGTTGTGGAGACAAGATGTCGAAGATAATCATGGTCTTTAAGTGCGAATTAAGTAGATAAAAGTTTAAAACTAGTCCCCATTGATATGTCGTCGTTTTGTATGATAAAAGCATACGCTTTACAAAAGAATGTTCTCACAAGCTTATCTGAAACCCATGGTAAATTGATTGGGAAGGTTGTGAGTTGCATTTATAGAATAGCAGATTTTTCAGGTAACAACTGTGCAAAATAATTTGAATAAATGTACCTATAACGATGATCAGCTTTTTTATGTACTACTGAGCATCTTTTGCTGACTCTTAAAGCAACATGGTATTTTACACTGTAATACATATTCAACAACAGCAGTTAATAAATTTGTAAATTTTTGTAAGGTCATGATATTGTCACTCACAGCATCCTCATAGAATAAGACGTTAAACGTCATCATCGAATGTAGGTGTGGGGAGTGGTTTACAAAGGTCAGCTTGTGCTTCATGCCAGGTAGTTTATTCAATTTCACTATTCAATCAGCTGAGTTAGTTCACTAACTGGTTGACAAAATCAAAGTAGTACAGGAAGGCATCGCCTCAAGTCGCCACACTTTACAGAAGTACACAAAAAAGGTGGTTGAAAAAAGAGTCGTATGAAAGGTTAGCAAAAATTAAAGCTTTCTGATGGTTTCTTTTCTCAGGAAGTGATTGAAGCTATTAATCGTGGTTTCAATTTATGGGTAGTTGAAAACGAAGATCAGTTGGAAATAATTTACAAATTTCGCAGTCTACATTGACATTTCCTACTGGTGGGTAGTTTTACGGCTGCCCAACTTTTGGCATCAACATGTTTTCCGTTGAAAACTACCCAGTCATGATAGCAAGGTGCGATATCTGACACAAAAGTGTCATGAACTAACAAGACATACTATTGAACACATTAATAGATAGTTACCATGCCTGTTGTTTGGTGGTATGTTTTCCATTTATAGGCCGTCGACATAGCCAGCCAGGCTTGAGACCTACGTAGAAGCATGTTTTTGATAGTGTCTAAAAGACTGTACATTACAAGTGAAACTGGGAAAAATAATATGTTCAACTTCTTAGCTACCCATCTTCATATAAGGTGTTACTGATGCTACAATAGATACTTTCATCCCAGCCATATAAACGATAGACTGATTACAGCCAACGTAACAAACTATGTTCTTCAAAAGAAAATACATATTTGAGAAGTATTATATGACATAAGTTACTGCCCGTGGTAACAGAGGTTTTCAGTGGCCAAAAGAGTGTCATCCAGTAATCGCAAAGGTAGGTTCTTTACTTATTTGGGTTTATTTTAACTGACATTTAAGATATATGTATATAGTCCATCAAAATAGCAATATACTATGTATTCATTCGATAAATGCATGATCCCAAGCTAACTAAAATTAAAAATAACGCAATAGTATAACTAAAGAATGTTTGGTTTCCTAGCTATTCTAAAACTGAGATGTATTGAAAATGAAGTGCATTATATATGTGTTTAATAGGGACTCTAGACTCACATGGGAATACTAGATGTTTCGCGGAATAACGGTTGTTGTTCGATTCAAGAAACTGGTATAGACAGCCAACTGAAGCAGCGTATAGATTATGTAGCTCAATAACGATTACAGTATAGTATCAGTTTTAACAGAAAAGCGCTTGAGAAACATGTCCTAATCGAGAAGGTGCCTAGTCATTGACTCGTTTATGTAAATACTTGAAGTAAAATCCGAATATGTGACTAACCGATTGCTTTTGGATGGGGATACTACACAGCTGTTTGAATCAGGCCTTCAACATTATTGCATATACATTCATGGACTCTTCTAGTAATCGCACATCATAATTTTAATTTGTCAGAGAGTCTGAAAGTTCCGGTGGGTGAGTTATGTGCCTAAACAGAGAAGATATTTTCCATACTTCATATAAATATGAATTTTCCTGGATTACGGACAATTTTTTTAATAATACACAAAATAGCTTTTCATCGCCAAACGTTAATGTCAAATTTGAGACGGAGGTACTTGTTTTTCTACGATTTAGATTGTCTGAAACTCGACTACTTCAAAACATCAAGATCATACTCATCACAAAAATATATGCTGAGAATAGTAGTCTCCTAAGTTCTCTGTATTTCCATCTATTTAAGAGCTTAGCACTTTTCATAGTTAACCTACTGCGCAGCGACTGAAGCCAGCTAATCCTAATTATATATTGAGGGGTTTACAGTCACTGTGAATCTTTCCTTTGGTGTTCACCTTTAGCTTCAGTGGTCTGTTGAATTACTAGGTCTGTTCACTACTCAACAGTTTAATCCACCACTCAATTCCAATACACTTTTTGGCACAGATGTTAAAAAATACCAGACATTATAATTGGTGGTGTGATCTCAAAAAACGTTTCATTTCAATTCAGAGGATGCTCTGGGTGCAATAAATTCTTCTGTTCCTTTCATTACAGAAAACTATTTATTCCACTGCATTTTGAAAAAAGAAAATTCTTTAAGTCAATTGTGGTTGTATAAACTATTTTTCCATGTCATTAAGGAAAATCATTGAGCCAATGTCAGAGGCGCACCACTTGATATTTTCATTTCAAACATCTGTATATGAAAGCGAATGTCAACCAATCATCTTCACTGTATTAATTTTTGCAATCCACAGGAAATAGACCAATGACATTCGAGTTATTTTATGCGAAAACATATGTATATTGGTTTTTGGTTTACATGAGATCATTTAATCAATGTGTTAATTCTTCATAATCGAAGAAACCAGTGATATCACTACTTAGGCTATTTTGTGTCCCTCTATGTGTAGAAATATGTACGCCTATTATGGTATTATTGTAACCTGATGTGCCTAATAAAGGACTGATTCTCAATTTATTCAGTGCCCGACAAATGTTATTTGGTGTACATGGACTTTATCTAGAGATAAACTTTTGCAGAAATTTCATTCTTAATGTGTAAGTCTACAGAAAATCATTCATTTTAATAATTTATCGCTGACTTTTTGGTTGTGAATGACCATTATGCAAAGCTCTATTGTAATGATACTTGTAATTTTCCACTGTTATAGTTGACCGAATTGCTCGACCTCTGCTGGCAGATGGGCTCTTATGCGGACGCCTCGATACTGCTGGACGAAATGTACGTCCTGGATTCCTCTGCTAGTCACTAAGATTAATATACATTGCTTTATTCCACTAGTAGCCTGTGGTGTATTACTCATTATCACCTGCTTAACCTATATGACATGCGTGAATCCTGAGAAATTCATGGTCATTTTTAATACAATACCTGAGAAAAATAGATGGAAAAAGTTCTGATTAACATGGAATGTCAGCGGATACCGTCATGACGTATAACTGTTTCAGTTATTTGTATTAATTTTAACATAATACTGATCCATGGACTGTTTTACCGAGTTGGAATACATGGTATATTGACTTTTATTGTCTATGTTTCTAACCTAATCGGTGAGATGTCCACAGGCGAGTGATTGTTATTGTTTAGGACCTTTATACTTTTTCAATACAATTGAAATTTTATAGGTGACTAAAACTTTCATATCGTTACAGTCCATTCATATTGCTTAGGTTCACCTCTAATATAATATCCCTTAATAATAAGCGTAAATTCACACGGTTTGGTTGACTTAAAATCGATACTGACGGTATCTAGTGATACAGCACTATCTACTGAATGACCTTTCCTTCACTTATAATTGCTCATAATCACATCTGCGTTACCATATAACTTGCTGTCTTCGTTTCTGTGATTGAACTGTTTATATTCTTTCAGTTCCAGTGGCATTAGAATTTTTTATGTAATCATCATTATTCGTTACAAGTTAATACTATCAACATGATCTTTAGTCCTGTTACATTGTCCTAACCTCTTATGTGATTATAAGTCTGTGAATTCTTAATAACGGCAGAAATTTTAGTCATACTAGTTGAACTCTTCAATGGGTTGTAGAAATCAAGAAAAAAAACAAGAAGAGTAATACCACCCAATTACTTTTCTTGGGAATTCATTCAAAAATTCATAGAAAAGAAGACGTGGAAGTGTAAACAAAAACTGCGATGGAACTGGTAAGGAACAAAAGGTTCTGTAATGTTTTCTTGTAAGCCTCATAAAAGCCCTGGAATTCCAAGATGTTGTAGGCCTAAATATTACAGTGATTCATTAGGTCAAAATAATTTTTTCAACTAACACTCGACGACAAATGTCAGGTGATGGGAAGGGACCAAAATAGGTTACACATGTCATTTACTTTGACAGAAGAAATGATGTACATTTAGAATGACACATGATGTCTGATTTTGTTCTAGGCTTCATCAAGATAAATAACCTGAAAGAAAATTAATCTGTTGCCAAGCATTCCCTGACTTATAATCACATAAGAGGTTAGGACAGTGTAACAGGTTAACCTTTTGAAGTTCTAACGAGAAGCAAGGATCTGAAGGAGTCAACCATTTAGCGTGTATGATAAATGCCAATGATATTGGTTGATGGTCGCTTCATATTGCAAACTAATAAAAAATAAATAATTTAAACCACTGGCTTCTAACCATGTGGTTTGTCTAATGGTTCCATAAAAACTGATTAAGTTCACAGTGCCTTAGCATGTCGACTAGGATGAGACAACTAAATGCCTCGATGCTTCAACTGGTTCTTAAATTGGTGTCAGTCGCTGGTGAGTACTTTGAAAAATGTCTGTTAAAAATACTAGAAACTCGGCAATCATTGATTTTGTTCTTAAAATACTGCGTTGTCGACTAATGTTAAAGACATAGTTTTGGCTAACTTATCAAACCGAAGGAAATTTCAGAATATATGTATAGGTTATAAAAAACACAACGCTTTTTGTTTGTAGGATAATAAAACTGAGAATTCGGGTACATACGTTTTTGTAAAATTATCTTCACAAAATAACAGCTAAATGTTACCATAGCACCTTGTTAACTATGCACTATCAATGTCGAGCATATGTTTTAAGAACTAATTTTCTTGCTCAGTTTTATTCATTATAGGGTGTGGGGATGTTCTGGTTCAGATTTTTGATAATTATTTAAAATGCTGTGAAAAACAAGCTTCTGAATATTTTGTCAGGGATCATTTCGTGAAGTTTCACTAGTTTATAATTTTGATATTTTTCACTATTGAATCACTTAATAGTAAACAGTGACGAAACCGCTATGGTGCAAAATAAAATGGAAACTATTTCACCAGCACTTTCAGTTTCATTAGACATGTTTGTTAATTGACAAGCGAAGAAGTGGACTGCCAGTTGTCTTTTTTAGATTACAAGACTACAGAGTTACAACTTGAATTACGGTCGATAACTTCTATCTAGGTTCACATTCATTCTAAAACCAAATGCTTAGTATATGGATAACTTGATGATTTCCTTCTGCCTAGAAATTCAATGAAGATAATGGCTGGTATTGAACTGAAAACTCTATCACCGAAACTTTTGACTGAGATTCAAACTACATCCAAACATGGTACAGCATTCAGCTACCGTGCTGGTCACATTATTTCTAGTGCCTTTGTTGAGATCCCATCCCAAAGTCAGGTTATATAGCTTAGCTGGGAAATTGGTAGCATCGCAACAAAGATAAACATACCGAACAAAGAAACACGTACCGACGCAGTAGCTTGCCCATAAATCCTACAAAATAAGGAAGATTGGATTAGGAAAATACTGATTCTCAATGTTCACCTCAGATTTACTTTATCAGGGTTAACCTTTTAATTATTGTGCTATACGTGATATTCAAGTTTTAAAATGTATTAGGTTCTGATTCGTGCTTTTTACAAAGTACTGTCACCGATTTCAAAATTTATTTCTATCACTCAAGCAGCCAAGTTTCGAATTGCTTAGGATCAGAAATCAATCAGGCGTCTTTCAAATCTTCTTGAAATGAAGAAATCAGTTAGTGGATTACTGGTATGTGATTCAAGCTCTGTATGTATTTGTTAACCCCTGTGTTACAGATATTTGTGTCCATTTTATTAAATACTGAATATAGCCGTCTTTTTATGATCTCATCAGAAGGTCGTATTTCTTAGAATGAGCTGAATTCTGAAGAGTCCAAGAGCCTTGCCCGTGATCTGAATAAGGCTTCCTGGATTTCAGTGTCTGAATAATTAGTGTGACTGCACAAAAACTACTTGAGCGTGACCTTTGGCTTCATCTCAGTGCAGCGACTTACCATAAGCGTTGCTTAAAAATGCCAGTGGTATTCTATTGGCTGTATATCTCATTTATCACCGGCAATCACTAATCGACGAAAATCCTACTATTATGACTCAGATTGAAAGGGTTAACTACTAAAGATTTTCAAGATCGTGAGTGTGTGAGCTTGGTGGCCACATTCCAAAATGATCACTAGAATTCTATCACCACCTAGGACTAGACATCATGAAAATAGTTGCCCTCCAGTGATTAATGCATTTACATAATCCAGTTTTATAAAAGGTCAGTCACAGCTTGAATTGCAGGTCTGAATCTCAAGTTGGATATTGGATCTGTAGAGGTTGCAGTTACGCCCAGCTGACGAGTGCCAAGTAGCACGAAACCTTTGCCCAGAGCTTCATCCTGATAGCTTCTTTACAACTAACATGACCAAAATCCGGTTGTATAATATACTTTTATTGATTAACATAAAATGTCTAATCTGGTAAAATACTACTAGAAAATTAGAGTTAGGCTTGAAAAGCTGGTAGTTTTTGTTCCGAAATGTATTAAAAAGGGGTTGGATCAGTATAATACTCATTAGTTTACAGATTATATTTTGACCAATAATATTGAAAATTAAGTGAAGACTATTGACTGTCGGTAGCTGTTAAATTTTCTCATGGATAGAAAATTCATGCGACTATAAATAATTGAAAAATGTATATGACTATTATTTTATTCAGGTGGTATTGGGAACGAATAAATTGAATTAGCGCTAGAGATAAGTTAAATAAGAATTGCAGCTGACGCCCAAATTAAGTTAATCTTTTAGTACACAGAAATAAATTGCCTTTTATTGATTTCAGCACTTAGGACCAAGCACTGTGTATTACACAGAAAACAACCCTTGAAAAGAAGAAAGGTACAGTCCTAGCAACAAAGTTATATATATATATATATATATATATATATATATATATATATATATTATTCAAATGACTCACTTGAACTTTATTATTGCAGTTCAGTTGACAGATCTAGTTGGAAAGTAGTTAGATGAGCTACCGAAAATAAAACTTTGTGTTTTTACGAGATTTCTTTGTTCACTGGGGTTAATAGTATTGCTTCAAAATGAAGGGAGTTATGTTGATTATCCTACTGCTTCAGCACAGTGAAATCGAATAACGTTGGTATTCACTGCTAAAATACTTCTAAACGTTTTAAACTGTAGCCTCATGTCACAAAGCTACTTAGCTTCAATTCAAGCATTTTTGGATCTATTATGAGGTACAGGTCTACTTAACATGTCAGGGTTGAAAATATAATGTACACGATTTATGCAACTGGTTTCTAGGTAAATGTATCATGGTTTGAGAGTAAGACCACTTAATACTTTTCCTGCTGATGATACATGAATCTACATGTGGTCAAAAATCATTTCATGGAAGCTAGCGTCTGTATTATGCAGCATTTCTAATGAAAATATTAAATTTCGTGGTCAAAAAAGCCATTCATCAATGCTAATTCAATCTTTCACCGGTTCAAGCTACGATTCTCGATAGATATCATGTTCATAGCTGGGATAATAATAGATAAATTGAGTGTCTAGGCTAATATAGGAGGAATAGGCATTAATCGGAAGCAAGTCAGATCATGAAGAATGTCTTTTGGAGCTTTGTTGAGACCTCAACTTGTTGCTAGCTTGGATCATCTTCCGACACAACTATCGCATTATTCCGCCTGGTTTTCTTTCTCTACCGCTCAAGTCTAAACTCAAACTGATGGTATAATGATCAGTTAACTATGGGTGAGTGTATTTAGGACTGTTGCTTCATTTCATTCACCTCTCTGAACTCTGATAAAACTTTAATGTGTGTTAAGTTCATATTGCTTTTGTTAAAGTCGTCATCCGAAACTTCAGTAAACTGGTTGCACCTAATACTGTAGCTGAAATTCACACCGAGGTAGGTACAATTGAGAATTGCCTATACTAACAAGACTCCATGAAAATGGCGAGTAAAGCTGTTTGTGGGTTCGAATAACATCCCCTCAATAAAAGCTACATTTCTGCAGGCTCCTTACAGCTTCTGGGTATCTACCAGTGTATTGTAGCAAGCAGGCAGTACGCTGTTGTTAGTTGGTTGGCGGTGGGTGAGCCCTTCAGCAATAAACAAAACACCATTTTCAAAAGGACTTCGAAGACCAGAGATCAGAAAGCGTGACATGGAAGCAGCAGGCGCACATGGTGAAAGTTGAAAGCTGTTCTAACTCATTCGAGGTACTGACAGCAATAAACTGGTTTCATTCAGATGGTTCGCAGAGCAGATGCTAATCAGATCAACATTTGTAATCAACGCCTGAAACGCTGGATGGAGCACTTTCAACAACCTATCACCTGGCTTGCTATTCTAGTAACATCTTTAATGTTTTGTATCTCATGGTCAACTACTAACAACCCACTTAATGAAGCATAGACCCGGGAGGAAGTCCAAGTACTAAAGTGTCATAAGGTACTTATTCTACCTTCCTTCTACGGATCGAGGTTACTAAAGGCGAGGAACCAAGTATTTTGCTTTAAAGGGTAAATTAGACTGGAAATGTTCCACTGCTTTCTTTGGACCCATCGTTACAAAGGTCTGGGTAATATATGTGATAACCACGGGGAGGTCTTAGTTATTGGCTGCTATCATCAGCATTACTGCAGGCTGTTAAGAACGTATGAAGAATTGGATGCCGCTATAGGGTTTGAAGTGGAGGGTATTGGATTCTAGCCTCAACGAGAACAACATCACTTGCTGGGGTACAGGTACATCCAACTGATGAGTTCCAAATAGGACAAAGTGAGCGCCCTGGATTCCAATGTTATGCAATAAATTAACCCCAAGCATAATGAATATACGGAGAGTATTGAGGCTTCCGTATAGGAAACCATCTGCCAACAGAGGTGGAGCAGTTTTACTCAATATAGCAGCGGGAAACTAGAAGTATCAATAAACAAATATCAACCTTTATTTTGAAGAGTTTTGACTTATATTTGTCCTAGTCTCAAGATTATCAGTTTCAGTCACAAACTTCAGCTCGATATTTTGATTCTAGTCTACTTCAAAACAGATGGTAATATTGATAACCACATTCGATTACCTTATTTGATTAAGTTTGACCTGAAAGTTGGTCACATCCGGGTGGAAGGAATAATTCAGCACATACTTATCGATTTAGATCGTTTGGGCGAGATGAAACATTGGTTCAGTAGAATACTAAGTCTCGCATACTTGACTTGCTAGTGATCATTTTTTGCAAAGGCGGTAATTCATGAAAGATGGAAATCAGATAGTACATCTCGACAGGTTTCTCGGATGATAAATAATGATCATTATTTTAAAAAATACATTTGGTTGGAGGGGCTGTTCTGAATTAGTGGTGTTTCAGAAACACTCATCAGGTTTTGCACCTATTGATGGCTTAACAATAAGAAACGTTACCTCTAGCTGGAACTCTGAATATGCTTTCTGATATTTATGTAATCGCCTTACATTTCATATCTGAGCGAATTCTTGGTTCAAAAACAATCATGTAATCCCTCCATATATGACGAAATTGATTCAGCAAATCATATTACCTTAACTTGGTTCACTGCATTACCTGAATTTCATTAAATAGTATTGTCTCACTTTTAGGTATCTGCAAAGCATATTAAAATAAAAGAATACTTCTGACAGTTTGGCTGCCTATTGGATCATCTATTATCGCTGTCTCAATAAAATGCCAACGGATCTTCGACAGAGCCGAAGTTATGTTTCATATCACGCTACATTTTCCGAGGCACCTCATCCAGTCGGACGTCATCACATCTTACAAACTCACGGTCAGCAGAATGCCTCAGATCGTCTTTATCAGATTGCTATGCAGGCAACGGTGGCGAATGCAGAAGCGTTCAAAGGTGCATGCGATGACGGTCATAAGTTAATTCTCGAAGACAGCAGACCTTCTTTAAATAAGATGAAATCAAATAAAGCTAGTCATAAGCACAAAACTAACAGTAATACAAGTACTTCTAACAATGTAACTTCAAGGACTAAAACAGTACATTTAACTCCGCAACAGTGGCAGTTGTTGACTGACTATCATGAGCACGATTTATTCGTACGTACAAGAAGTTGGAGCTTTTGCATGGCAGTTTTGGGCGTCGGTGTCACATTATTTGGTATTGGCAGTCCAGCTTGGAAATGGATTGGTGATGGTAAGTTTCAAAATTACCATTAACTTTCTAACATTGTTCTCAATCCTTTTGTGTCGATAAATATTCACATCACTTTAATTAGAATCACTGTTCTGCAAACATTATTCTTTTGTATTGGCCAAAACATATTCGATCACTTTGAGGGACAGACAGACACTAAAATATATGACCTTGTACTAACGTATAGCTATGCAAGCTTTTACACTTTATATCAGCATTCAAGTAGAAGATAATGACAACAAAGACAACAGTTGGAAATGAACAAATAATAAGTTGAAGTGAGCCATATGACAGAGGGAAGAGGAGAAAACCTAGACAAAAGAAAAGCAATATTACTTACCACATGAGGATAAGACACCTGCACAACTAATATTAATTGTGAGCCATATCACTAGTAGCATTCAACTACTCTTCCAATATTTTAGTACGTTTCATTATAGGTATCCTGGATTTCTTGCAATCTGATCTGCTTTATCTAAAATTGTGTTATAAAAAGGTGACTAGGAATGTGCAACATATTTCTCGGCCATTTCAAACGCTGAACGCACCAGATTTTATCGACCAAATTATTTTCTTTACCTAGACAATAACTAATCTTCATATTTCTGTCATCATGGTTTCATGATATGGTGGCGATGCTACGGAGGTTACAGTCCTGAGATAGGTAGTCTCTTTTTATTTTGTACCTTCATTGGTTATATTTCTGCAACTTGAATCACGACTCAATAAAGTTCTGTACACATTGTCAAAAAGTCTTAAGTTACTGGATACTTCAGCGGATAATTTGTTAAAATTAGTGAAACTACTTCAACCGTTTATATTCGCCCTAGAACCTCATTGGTCACTGAATCATATGCACTAATCCACATCTACAAGTGAGTAAAGTGGTCATCTTGTTCCAGCCATTCTTTATTATTTTACAAATTATTTGTTCTAGCTGATCAGACATTTTCACACTGCTAATTAGCGGCTTCATAAAATTTTCACCATGACAGTATCTTGACTTAACAGGAATAAACGTTGAACGTACCTTTTTTAAACACATAATACTAGTTTCAACTTCTGGATGGCTAGTGCTTCGGCTATAGACAAATGCCTTGATCTTATTCCTTACAAGTGGTTTGATCGAACCCTGTAGAGGATTTTATATGAGCTCTCAAAAGGAGCTAAGCGGGCTGGGTTCACGAGGTGTTCTGCTATTGGACTGAAGATACATTTCCCTTCTCCCGTTTCAAGCCAGGCTGGGAAGTGTTCACGCGCACGTCTTACAAGCTGATGCCGATGTTCTGGTATACACTTGATCTTGTGGAGCTGAGTACATCGGCCGTACCATGCATCAGCTTGTAAGACGTGCGCGTGAACACTTCCCAGCCTGGCTTGAAACGGGAGAAGGGAAATGTATCTTCAGTCCAATAGCAGAACACCTCGTGAACCCAGCCCGCTTAGCTCCTTTTGAGAGCTCATATAAAATCCTCTACAGGGTTCGATCAAACCACTTGTAAGGAATAAGATCAAGGCATTTGTCTATAGCTGAAGCACTAACCTAACAAAATACATTACTTTCGCAATTCTGAGATTTATCCTGCAACAAAAAGGATAAGCAGATCGGCTTTCTGATAAATATTTCTGTGATAAAGTTATATATATGCCTAACGGACATCGTTAACATAGATAATGTGTTATGAGAATGTATTATATTTATAGTTGTAAGTAAACATTTATTATAAATATATTCATAACATATTGATTCTCTCTAGACTGTACAAATTGCTCATGGATATAACAGACATCATACCTAGTAACTAATCAAAATTCTGGACACGACTGGACAAAACTGTGCCTACAGCTTTCAGCACGGTGAAATGCTCGTCAACACCCTTTTAAGTAGGTCACACTCGGAAACCTATCAGTGAACTAAGGTAAATACTACGTTTGTATCAAGACATAGCAGGTGTTCGTTGTCAGTAGAAATTTCTGTCACATAATTTTGAGAAGAGTATAGATCTGATCAGTACATCTAAGACCAGATCCGGAACCTAAGCAATTTTCTCTTGTCAGTAGTTCTCCAAGTGCTGCTAATTGCGCCATGTGTCGATTTAAAAAACCTCAAACTTTATATCATGTGAATTCGTATATTTTCCATGGTAACCGTCTAAGAAGTTTATCTTTTGGTGAAGATAGAGACCAATTCCATAAACACGACCACTTTTCGACACGTGATTTAGCTATACTGTATGGAAATCATGCGTGTTAGCGAAAACTATTTGCCCAGCATGTGGGTGTTCATGAACGTGTTCGTGTGTGAATGAAATAATTCAAGGGGAAACATGCGAAGCCTGTATTTAAAAATTTAAGAGAAATTTACAAAATAGATCATTATTTTGTAAAAATAGGTTTGGGAGGATTAACTTTTTCTTTCAAGATTCTGTGAACGTATTTGGTGATCACTGACTGACCTGAATGCTAAGCTTCTAAAAATGCTATGGTATATTTTATAATTCCTCCACCCAAGATTTCCACATTTTCCTAGCCAAATTCATATCCACAGTTTTCTTCTTTCATCCACAAAGTTGTTGTAATACAGCATGTCTTCGGTCTTTCTGATAGTGTTTTTATATAACTGGTTTTGTATGCTTTTGGGTTGTTGCTATTGTAGTTGAGAATGTGATGCGCTTCAGTTGGTTTTCTGTATACTTAAGTTTCCAGTATGTCTGAATCCGTTCCAGTTATCAGAACATCTACAAATGCAAATTTTTCACTTCTTCTTCAATTGTGAGCTTAATTTCGTCGAAAATGTTGTTGACTTATTTGTTGGCGTTTTCCAATTCGTTTATTTAGTGATCATAAATGTGTCATCTACACACTGACCTTAAAGTTTCGAATCCTCAACTACAATAACAACAACCCAAAAGCATAAAAAATCAGCTGTATAAAAACACTGTTCAAAAGACCAAAGACACACTGTATTACCAAAACCCTGCGGATGAAAGAAAACGATTTGATTACTGTTTTCCATAGGGACGGGTATCCGCACAACTTCATCAGAAGATGCTTGCATAATTCGTCGTCAACCTGGAAGTTAGTCTCGGATATCAACTAACCAATTGTCGTACGCTACTGGATGGATGTCTACGAGATCAGGACTAGATTATTGAAGCTGCAGTTGACATGCCAGCAAAATCTCTTCACTCTTTTATGTAGGCTAAGTATGCAATAGCAAAGGAGGGCAACCCAAACATTATCTAAAAAATAAACTGCATAAACTGTAAAAAAAACATTACGCCGGACAGAGTGATCGCCCTCTTCGTATCCGTCTACATGAACATCGACTGGCAGTGAAGTGTCATGACATATCTTCGGTTATATCAATTTATGCAGACAGCTGTGAATATAAATTTGACCAGGAAAATGTGTAAATCTCGGATAAAAGAATTAAAGAATATGCCATTGAATTTTAGAAGCTTCGCATTCAGATCAGTCAGAGGTCAGAAAAAACTTACATTGATCCATCTACAACCGCTAGGAGGCAATAACAACAACAAAGTTCACGTCAGCAGGACAACCGATCGAAAAACATATGGAGACAATGACAAGACTGGGCAAGCTACTAAGCCATTTGTTGTCTAGAATGAGAACGAACGCCTTACAATCAAACCGTACAGCCTAGTGAATCCTGCAGCGTCAAGATCATTCTCTCTGTCAACGAATGTTCTGCATTTTATTAAAAGACAGATGGTTTTTGATGCAAAGAAGTTTGAAAAACGTGTCATTTAGCTGATTTTCGCCAGTTGCTCAAAAGTTTTTTTGTTTGTCACACTCCAGGCATGTGGAGCTTGGTTTATATTCAGCTAATGGTTTTTATATGAAGAGTAAATGAAAGAGTAAATCTCACTGAGGTAGAAAAATAAATTTGACCTTTTTCGACTATTGAGCCACTAATATATCCTATTTAACACATTGCACACACCAGTAATAACTGAAGTACATGCTAATAAACAAACAGAATTTTTTATCTATTTTATTTTTCACACCACACCCATTTTCATCTTCACCTTGAACTCAAAGACTAATAACAGATAACGAATACACTGATTCCCATGGTTTCTTCATTTTTGAACAATGGTTTCTGATTTGTCAACATTTACTAATTAAATGTGCAATGACCCGTTCAGGTTTTATTATCTGACGAAGTGACATCCACGACGTCACGAAACAGTAGAAATGTATTTTAATAAGACATTACGAAGGTGATGCTTGTCTGACCCGTGTAATGTGTCGGAGTTGCTACTCAAAAACATTTTCACACTGTCTGTCAACGATTTCATAAAATTTTCACCCTGACGCTACAAATATTTTATGCCATTCAGACAAGTTACATCTTCTTAGTGCTTTATCAAAATTCGTAAAGGAAAATAAATGTATGAAATTTGTAAAGAAATTTATTTTTAACGTCACTGGGATTTTTCAAATATATTTGATTCATAATACATTTGTTCAGTGCTCAACTTATTCAACTCGGACAGGTCAAATTTCGATTCTGAAGTCTGTAAAATGGTTTGTCAGTTGCATAACAAACATTTCAAACTAGCGAAATTCGGTTTATTCGAATCACTTTTTCAACCTTTCAATATGTGAGCATAAAACCAGGTTCCAAGACTTCAGAAATCAATTTGATTCCTTTTTGAGTAATCGACTTTGGGTTTCCTCGGTGTAGCAAAGCTTCTTTGCATTGGTGTTTATCTCATTCACGATGAGTTGCATCGTTCATTAAGATGCATTCTAAAAACCATTTTCATTTCGGCGTGTATCCAGTATAGGCGATTGCGGCTGACAAATGTTTGGCATACTTTTACAAGGCAACCTTGTTGTTACTCAAATGCAATTTTTAAAGTACTTTTGAACCTAAAGCCTGTGTGTTTTGCTTTATAGCTCGACATCCATATGAACTAGGATTATGGAACTTGTGCCTACCGAACAACTCCACCTGCCTGTTTATAATTTATCATCTGCAGAATAACTGGAGTAAGTCCTTCGGTGAATATAACAGATTGCTTATAATTTACTTTCGCGACCTCCGCAGAAATTCTCTCTAGTGTACTATTATGAATTATCTGATTTTGACTTCCTTTACTTCGAATCACCATTCGCTTGTTGAAAACTTGATAAACTACATGTCTAAAGAAATTTGTTTCACGCAAGAGTCGTTAATTAGTTCCATGAACTTAGGACTAAGGACTGACAGAAACGTCATGAAAAGTGAAACAATTTCATTAGCACTTACCTCAAGAAGCTTTTCTTCTGGTTGATGGTGACGTTTATGTTGAACGAGAACTGTGACCTCTGCTGGTTGAGTTGGGTGGTCTTTTAAAAAACATGAAAAAGGTTAAGGTACATTATTGCCATCGTTGATCGAATTACTACCTAGCTCACCTCTTTTATCGTTGTCATGGATCAAGAATATTATGCAAATTTATAGTCATATGGACACCATGCATATACCATGCCAAGAATGCTCAGCTACTGATACAGTGTCATTTTACTTCTGAAGCATCAATTTCATAACTTTTGTACTCTACTTAAATCGAAATTGATTTGGAAAAATAGATAAGGACTACATTTACAGAATGAAATTACATAGTTTTATTTTAAGGTTATTTTCCAGCTCCACACACCATATGAATATCATAGAAATATGATTCATCTGCAAAATGCTGAATGACAGAGTATAAATTTCGCTATACTTTAGTATAGCTAAATTAGACAATCCTAAGTATCACTTTGTAGCTTAAAACTGCTGCTTATTTACTCATTATCAAGTGAAAGTTTCAAGAAATGTATCTTTGAAATAAATTTATACCACGTTTTTATGAGAATCCAGCCCTTCTTATTTTGTCTCAACCAACCAACGAAAGCAAGTACATGAAATAAACGACTTGCTTTTGGCATTACACATTACTTCTAAATCTAATTTTTGTGAAAGCATTTGTAAAAAGATGCATAAATAATGCCCCACCTTAAACGCTTTTTAGGAATTTCTTTTTAATGTCTATTCTTTCCACTATAGTTCAAAGGTTCAAACCTAAGGCATGTGGAATGTAAAAGTGAGGATATAAGTAATCAAATGTCGCTTTTATCTAATTTCACTTGTGATTCCCCGCTGTTTTACAGTACCGGATAGCTTGACTTCTGTTTCTTAGTGAAGCAATGGGTACTGGGTTTGAGCCTCAGTGGGAAAAACATGACTTACTGGGGGGTTGATACATCTAGCTGACGACCAAATAGGACAAAACGCTCAGTCTGGATTCCACTGCTAGTCAGCAAGATAAATACAAGTTTCATTGTTGCTTACGTAAAACTTAAAAGCGAGTGAATTACTTTTGAATTAACATCAAGAACTTGTAACTCAAACAAATTCCAATTTTCTGTTCATTCTAATCCTATCGAACCATACTGCAGAAATATCATGTTTCTTCTGTGAAACTGATGCAGCTTTAGTGTTAACTGACTTGGAAGCTGGTAGGTGCTCTCCATCAGAATTATTGAAATGTTTCTTCTCTAGAATTTTCAACATATATATGTATTTGATATGATATGATATTTGGCTCATTATTCAATTTCTAAGTTGTAGTCCTTGACTGATAGAATTTTCTCGTAATTAAGAAACAGTAAGGTAAAATGTTTATTAGTCTCTTTTTTTAAGCAGACCAACCTTCAAAACTGTAGGCGCGGAAAATTAGTCTTACCCAGATAAGTACCTACATTTTAATTTGAAATGCTGTCCATTCTTTAGGCATAATGCTCTCAATCCTTTGATTTCGTAATTTTGTATCTTTTAACAGAACTTCACACATCAATTATCTGTCTTTTGGGTTGCGCCTGTTTATTCGGACTGTTGGGTTTGGGTTTGGCGATCACAGGTGTGTGCAAAAGTGCCTTGATTCTCCGACTGTATTATTATCATTCAGCAGGTGAATGCTTTCTTGTTTCAAGTAAGTTTTACATTTTTTCATATTTTATTTAATGAAAACGTTTCTAATTATTGTCTTTCAATAGTAGCAGCCAATGAGTCCATTTTCTAGACTGGTTATTCAGTGACAAAGTAATTTTTTGACATTCCTGGAATTTCTCTTGAATATTCCGATTTTATTCACAACCCATCGTTTTATCAACAATCCATGGGTAATAGATTTGTTATTTCTTTGTCTCTTTACTCAACATTCAAATTGACAATTAGGCTTTAAAGAACCATCAGAAACGGTTGATCACTAAAAAAGTTCGGAAGACGAGATGTTGAGCAGATGATGAAAATTATCATGTCGTTAACTACTTTCATCAAGAAATTAAAACAACCAGTTATCTACCCATCGTTCAGATGGATAAGATAATTCTGGATTTTACTTACTAGTCAAAATTATAGGAATATCCTTTTAGGTAACTTCTTTCGTAGCTCATAAATTTATACTTTAATAAACGCTGAAGTACATGAATTATCCTATATCAAAAAGGTGGGTTTTTGTAGCAGTGTTTAACTCAAATTAATAATCGGGAATTTTTCCAATATAAGATAAATGTGAACAACTTTGTTGAAAACATTTACTAAGGACGGACAGTGGCTAGCAATGGAATCCAGGATGCGCATTTTGTCCTATTTGGGACTCGTCAGCTGGATGTTGTTCCCATCAGGATTAGAACTGGAAGGTGATGACTTCAAACGCCAGAGCGTCCAAATAGGACGAAATGCGCATCCTGGATTCTACTGCTAGCCACTATCCATTATTACTACCACTAGAGTATTGTTAATATCGAGGCATCCACACAGGATCCCATATGCCAATATAGACCGACCAATTCGGTCCGATCAACGACGGTATGATATAAAAACAATTATACTATTTACTAAGGACTGTAAAACAAATTAGTAGATAAACCTGTTACTGTAGCCATAGACGGTTGATGAAAAAATGGAACATTTCCGGTACGCATCATCAAAACAGATTGTTCTAATCAACAAAATAACTTTACTAATAAGAACGATAGTTGCTGAAGTTTAAATGAATCCATTCATTTTGATCACATGAATTACTTTTAACATAGAAAAACAAAAAAAGTATACAATGAAGGAAGGATGCACATTATTTAAGTGGGATTATGATGTGTGGGTGCAGATAGGGATCATCATGGTCAATAAGCTTAAATGATCCTACATTTAAGAGGGCACAAACAGATATTCAATACTATTATTGGTTAAAGTAGTGGCAGTGAGAGCATACTTAGTAAGGTTGCTGAGGGTTAGAACCGAAAAAGTTTCATTTAGCAGAGTCCTGTAAACTTAATTTCGCAAATAGGTCAAAGTAATGATATTGTTTGTGCAAATATCATAAAATTTAGTCAAGTCTTTCATAGCTTAATTCAGGTTCTGCTGTCACCTTTCAAGTTTTCAAAGTGTTGAGGGTGAGAAGATGTGGTATGTAGGTGTAATCTTTATGCCAGTGAAATGATGGAGAATAGTGTAGGGGATTTGTAGCTTAGAATAAGAATGATAATTCCTTGGTGTTTACCAACTTTCGTGGAGTAAGTACTAATGGTATGGCTTAGTCTAGTGATAAAATGTGCAAGCACAATCACAAAGGCTTGGAGAACACAAAAAAGTATGACGATGAATATTTCAAGCTAAGGTGGATTATCTTGATTGATTTGTGTTCTCTGGGCTGGATGGTTTAATCGTGCACCTTTTATTGGTTGCGTGGTACTGATTATGTCTAGAGAGAAAAAATGAAAGCTTCATGATTAAGCAATCTAACTGAGAGAAGCCACCACAACCAAGCTTCATGATATGCTTGGATCTAATAAGTTAATGCCAAACTATATACAATTTTCACTGAAATGTATTTTACCAACTCAAGTGTTGCTTCCAAATAAAAAATTTCTAAAATGCTGACAAGAACAAATTAATGCATTGATACATTTAGAAATATATATTTCAGTTATTAATCACTTCTTTCTCATGTTAACAATTATGAAAAACATAGTAATTTTGCACTATTAATGTTTTTTCCAATTAAGTCAAAGAGCGCCGCAAATAGTTTATCATTGGATATATTCCCTCTAAAATTCACTTACATGAACGATTCTTTTACAGTCGTAGTTGAAACAGTTTAATTTTACTTCAAAAGAGTTTCTCCCTTTGAGCATGTTAGCAAAAGGTTCTTCCCCTATTTTAGTTGAATCATTCGGTTTCTATTCAACTTTATGCTCAGAATAAGCATCAAGACCTATCGTTTCTCATACTGGAAGGGTACAAATTTTATAACATAAGTATATTTTTCATGTAGTCTTTCTGTATAATAATCTCTTCAATATATCACATGTCATTCTTGCGGTAAAAAGGGGAAACACATCTCCGTTCCCACACATAAGTAACATTCACTACCATGTTCGGTTCATTGAACTGTGTCGGTTTATCAATCTTATCTGTCTATGGTTTCCAAATGAATGTGAATTCAGTTCATTTGCTGGTGATGGAATGCAGAACTTTTCCCGAATTGGCTTTTGACTTTAGGATTTCTGGATAGTCAAGGTAGAATGGTTTTTCCAAGCATGTTACAAACGATAATAACTACAAAGTTATATGATTAAATTCACCAAGTCATCTTGTTTAAATGCATATCACAGTAGAACATGCGATTAGAGGTGAGTCTTATTCTGACCAAAGACTATGGCTTTAGACTTAATAACGGGTCAGGAAGACCATATAACACTGCAGTTAGGTATGATGTCAACAGTCCCAGAGTTTCGAAGTGAAATACTATAATATGCAACACATACAATAAATAAATACAATAATATAATGATTTTTAAGTTTGATAAAGGCAATTTAACACCAGTTATGGAGTAATTGGATTTCTCCAAGAAAATCGACTAACATATCCAAACAGGACCATATAAAGAAATCAAGAAGCCTTTAGACACGGTCATGAATTAAATTAAGAAATCTACAGCCGATGTGGTACGCCGATTAAAGCCATCTCTAGGTGAGCATAAGTGGTTTAATTTGATGCCTAAAACGTATAATCCTAGCAGAATTTATGGCACCATTAAGGTTCACAAACTAGGTTATTCCACTAGGCCCATAGGTGACTTCAGAAATACCCCAATATATGAACTAGCAAAGCACTTAGCACCGATATTGTGTTCTATTGGGGACTGTTCAAAATCCAGACTAGTAAACGCTTACGAGTCACAACTAAAGCCTAATGAACTACATATAGAAGAGGGTGAAAAATGGTTAGTTTCGATGTAATAAGTCTTTATACTAAAACACCAATCAGTATGGCACTAAAGGCAATCAAAATTAACTAAATATTGACTCACAACCTACTCACAGAACTAAGATATCGGTTGGTGAAGTCATAGTAGGCGTACAGCTGTACCGGACCTCAACACTCTTCAAGTTGAAGGATAGAATATACACACAAACATAAGGAGTAGCAATGGGATCGATAATATCCTCAATTCTAGCAAATATATTTATGGATAGTTGGGAAAACATGGCTTTACAAACGTTTAGTCCTGCACCTAAAATGTGATGGCGATACGTAGATGACACATTTTCTGTGCTCAAATGGAATATATCGCCAGTTTCCCAATTCACTTTTGAGGTAGAAAATGAACAAGGAGATTTGCCTATGTTGGACTGCAGGATAAGATGAAGGACAGAGGGTGGTTTGGATACTACCGTCTACAGAAAACCGAAACACTCCAACAAGTATCTAGACTTCGAGTCATCCCATCCGACGTCAGTCAAGGTAGGCTTAGTCAAATGTCTAAGTGACAGAGCTAGAAAACTGACTAGTCAGTACAAGAACCTAAACAAGGAGTTGAAACACGTAAAAGAAGTGCTAATAGTTATTAATAATTATCCTTCACAGTTTATGAATAAATTCGTGCGAACACACAAAAAAAGAAAAGATAACAGTGATACGAGTACGAAAAATAACGACAACACAAATAGAAAGAAGTTTTGAGTTTCCAATGTGTTACCCCATAAGGAAGGTATATCAGAAACTCTATGTATGATACTCAGCAAAACTGGAATTAGGTTGGCTTAGGGATCCGATAAAACTAGATGAGCAAAATAGTTTAATCTATCAAATGACTGTGAGGTCAAGTACATAGGTCAAACTAGCCGTCGGTGTTGGTTAGAATAGCCGAATATAGGAACTTAGCTAAATATAGGATGACAGACCAGGCTATAGCAATGCATGCATTAACACATAACCACTGTACTTAAGTCCAATATAGTTAGGTGGAGAGATTGATTACTGAATCTTTGTTAATTGAATCAACACCCAACATATGTAACAGAAATGACGCAACACCTAAACCAGAGATATGGAAAATTTTACTACCAATAAAAACAAGGAATAAGAGATGACAGGACTGTAAAAAGATGTGGGAAGTAGTGTGATTACATTGATATGATTATGAGCAATAATTCATGCTCAAAACGTCATCAAGTAAATAATACTATATCACTGTGTGTTATAAATCAAATAAACACATCTAATGTGGAATTAAATTCTACCACAGTCCCCATGTTTGATACAAATATAAATACAGACACTGTTATCTTTTGATCACGAAAATTTATTGTTATGAGAGATATTTTATGCATAATAGCAAGGGATGATCCCTGTGTTCATGCTTTCAAATATGAAGTGAAATATCTAGATCACAAATTCATAGCAATGAAATAGCAGCATATAGATATACTCTTCACACAAAGAGGACAGATACGTCAATATCTAGTCTGACAGATTTCTAATACTTAATACTAGAATGCAAATAAAAAGTCACTAGAAACAGTAGTATAAAAGGTGTGTGATGGTTTAGAGAGTACATAAATGAAGGTTTTTAAAAATATTCAAGACTTCATAGATGGAAGAGAGTGTATACAAAGGTTTCATTCCATCAGATTTAAACCTAATTC